AGAAATGTGAAGATGTTGCAACATAAATAAATTTATTGCTGTACTTTACCAGACTTAACTGAAAAAAGAAATGAAAGAGATGTTACAGCTGATAGCACAGAAAAACGAAGGATCATAAGAGACTGCTAGAAACAATTATACACTAACAAATTGTGATAAACCTAGAAGAAACAGGTATTTTTCTAGAAACATACAGTCTACCAAGAGTGAGTCGAGATGAAACAAAACATCTGAACAGACCAAATATTAGTAAAGATTCAGTAATCAAAAACCTTCCAACAAACGGAGGTCCAGGACCATATGGCTTCACTGGTGAATTCTACCAAACCTTGTTAATACTAGTTCTTCTCAAACTCTTCCAAAAAAAAAAAAAAAATAGAAGAGGAGGGAACTCTTCCAAACTCATTTTATGAGGTGAGCAGTATCCTGATGCCAAAACCAGACAAGGATGCCACAAGAAGAGAAAATTATAGGCACTGTCTCTGATGAAGAGAGATGCAAAATCCTCAACAAAGGATTAAGAAACCAAATTAAACAGTACATCAGAAGGATCAGACAACATGATCAAGTAGGATTTATTCCAGGAATGCAAGGTATTTCAGCATTCTCCGGTTAGTCAATGTGATCTACCATATTAAAAGATGAAGGATAAAAATCGTATGATCATCTCAATAAATGCAGAAAAAAGCACTTGACAGTATTCATCATTTATTTATGATAAAAGCTGAACAAAGTGGGTATGGAGAGAATGTACCTCAACAGAATAAAGGTCTAAATCATATATCTAAAATATATGACAAGCCCACAGCTAATATCATACTCATACTTTGATTTCATCATACTTTGGTGAAAAGTTGAAAGCTTTTCCTCCAAGATCAGGGACACTGACTAACAAGGTACCATTCTTGCCACTGTTTTCAACATAGCTGGAAGTCCTACCCAGAAAATTCAGCAAGCAGAAGAAATAAAAGGCAACCAGATCAAAAAGGAAGCAAACTGTCTCTATTTGCGGATGGCATGATACTCTAAAAGTGCCTATGAGAAAGAACTATTATAACTTATAAATGTATTCAGTAAAGTTGCAGGATATAAAATCAGACACAAAAATCAGTTGTATTTCTAGATACTGATAATGTACTATCAGAAAAGGGATTAAGAAGAGAATCCCATTTATAATTTTATCAAAAAGAATAAAACACCTAGGAATAAATTTAACCAAGGAGGTAAAAGATCTGTACACTGAAAACTCTCTAAGACATTGATGAAAGAAGTTGAAGGAGATACAAAGAAATGGAAAGATATTCTGTGTTCATGGATTGGAAGAATTAATATTGTTAAAATGTTTAGACTGCCAAAAGCAATCTACAGATTTACTGTGATCTCTATCAAAATTCCAATGGCATTATTTTCCCACAGAATTAAACAAAAAAATCCCCAGATTTGTATGGAACCACAAAAGACCCAGTATAGCAAAAGCAATCTTGAGAAAGAACAAAAGTGGAGGCATCACACTCCCTAATTTTAAACTACTGGGTTAGCCAAAAAGTTCATATGGTATTTTCCAGTTTTCATTTCACTAGTAACTGTATTGATTTGGGTATTTTGAGTATGTTGGCTATTTCCTGCGTGGTATAACATTGATTGTTCTTAATTAATGTCTCAATTTGATTGCTGTCAACTTCAGTTGGTCTGCCCAACCTTGGAGCATCATCCAACGAGAAATCTGTAGCACAAAACTTTGCAAAGCACTTTTGACACCTTAGATCAGTCACAGCACCTTCTCCATATATGGCACAAATCTTTTTTTATCTTATTTTTTATGTGTGTTTCAGTTGCATTTTTACCTTCCTTGAAATAATAAAGCATAATATGCTGAAAATGTTGCTTATTTCCCATTTAAATATTAAAGTGGCTACACAAAAATTCACCAGTTTTGGTAAGTTTTTTTTTTTAAATGAAAGCTGATATGACAGTTGTCACAATGCAGTCTAACATTGTTTTGAATGAAGTTAAAGATAAGTAAGTGCTATTAGAGGCATCTTACGGAAAGAAAAACCAAAGGAACTTCTTGGCCAACCCATATATTACAGTTACAGCAATCAAACCAGTATGGTATTGACATAAAGACAGCCTCATAGGTTAATGGAACAGAATAGAGAGCCCAGCAGTAAACCCATGTATATATGGTCAATTAATTTACAACAAAGGAACTAAGAATACACAGTAGGGAAAGGACAGGCTCTTTAATAAATGATGTTGGGAAAACTGGACAACCATAGTCAAAAGAATGAAACTGGACCATTATCTTACGCCATACACAAAAATTAACTCAAAAAAGATTAAAGACTTGAACATAATGCCTGAAACTCCTAGAAGAAAACATAGGCAGTAAACTTTTTGACATGTGCATTTTTGAATCTCATGCCAAAAGAAAAGCAGCAAAAACCAAAAATAAACAAATGGGACTACATCAAATTAAAAAGCTTCTGTACAGCAATAGAAAACCCATCAACAAAATGAAAAGGCAACCTACTGAATTGGGGAAAATATTTGCAATTCATATATCTGAAGACGGATTAATATCCAAAATACATAAGTAACATATACAACTCAATAGCAAAAACCAAACAATTAAAAAATGGGTAGAATATCTGAGTAGATATTTTTCCAAAGGATAGATAAAAATGGCCAACAGATACATGAAAAGATGCTCAATATCGTTAATTATAAGGGAAATGCAAATTAAAACCATAATGAGGTAATATTTCACAGCTGTTAGAATGGCAGTTATCAAAAAGAAAAGAGCACTGGCTGATGTGGCTCAGTGGATTGAATGCTGTCCTGTGAACCACAGGGTCACTGGTTCGATTCCCAGTCTAGGGCTCATGCCGGGCATGTGGGCCAGGTCCCCAGATAGTGGGTTCATGAGAGGCAACCACATATTGATGTCTCTTTCCCTGTCTCCCTCCCTCCCCTTCTCTCTAAAAATAAATAAATAAAATCTTTTAAAAATTTATTTATTTATTTATTTATTTTTAAAGATTTTATTTATTTTTAGAGAGGGAAAGGGGGGAGAAAGAGAGGGGGAGAAACATCAATGTGCAGTTGCTGGGGGCCGTGGCCTGGAACCCAGGCATGTGCCCTGACTGGGAATCGAACCTGCGATGCTTTGGTTCACAGCCCACATTCAATCCACTGAGCTACACCAGCCAGGGCTAATAAATAAAATCTTAAAAAAAAAAAAAAGAAAAGAAGTGTTAGTAAGGATGTGGAGAAAAAGAACTGCACTGTTGGTGGGAATGTAAATTGATAGTTACTATGGAAAACAGTATGGAGGTTCCTCAAAAAATTAAAAATAGAACTACCATATGATGCAGCAGTTTCTCTTCTGGGTGTTTATCCATAGAAAATTAAAACACTAACTCAAAAAAATATATGCACCCCCATGTTCACTGCATTTTATTATTTCTAATAAATAATAGTCAAAATAGTCAGAAACATCCTAAGTGTCCATTGATAGATGAATGAATAGAGAAAATATGTTATATACATACAACAGAATGTTATTCAGCCATAAAAGGAATGAAATCTTGCCATTAGGGACAACATGGATGGGCATTAAGGGTATTATACTAAGTGAAATAAGTGGGACAGGGAAAGATAAATACTGCATCATCTCGCTAATATATGGAATCTAAAACAAAACGAAAAACTAAGCCTTAAATATGGAGAACAAATTGATGATTTCAGGGTGGGTGGGGTAGGGAGTGGGAAAAAAGGGTGAACTGTTTTTGTTTTTGGGGTTTTTTTTTAATTATTAGTTTAAATAGGTTAAAAAATTGTAAATGTTCATTAATGAATCCTAGTATGACTGTTGTATGACAGAATATGTTAAAGACTGCTAGCAAATGTGGTTGAAAGTCTGGTCTACCACTGCCAAATAAGAAAGGCAAAGACATTGCAATATAATGAAAGTTATTGCTGTACTTTATCAGAATTGGGGGGAGAGCTATAACGTACTTTGATCATATTCAGTGCTCACTCCTAATCAAATTAATTCAATATGAAAATAAAAGAATGCTTTCCTAGCATCATAGAAAGAATATTTTTATTAACCAATACCAAATTTAGAAGAAAAATAACCTTATAAAACTTGTTATCATTAGTATTTAATTCAACTTTAGTTTAACATATTGCTACGTAATATGGTCTGAAGACTGGTGCCAGTCCATGAATTTCTTGTTACTGGTTTTTCAAGAGATGAGTACAAAAGTTGAGGTGAGGTGTTTAGAAACTTTTATAGTATTTTGACAGTATGATCTTATGTGTTTTTTTAGAACTAACAATGAAACATTTAGACTTGTGTTTTGTATTTTGGGCTTAAATTTTACTTTTCTAGTTATTTTTACTAGCTTTTAAATTGTTTACTAATTATTTTTATTAACATTTTAATAAGACCTCTTCCTGTGGTGAATTAGAAGTAGGAAAAACTGATCCTTCCCATAGTTATTTTTTGAGGTATTGCTGTGAATCATGCCACTAATATAAGAGTATAAACATTTGAAAGACAACTATCATTATTTATGGATGATATGATACTGTTATTGAGAGGAGCAGAGAGTCCAGTAGAAACTGGTATAGCTAATAAAAATTCAATAAAGTGGTCACATGTAGAGAATATTGTAGCTTTAGGTTTGGATTTTTTTTTCAGTTTTATAATGAAATTGTAAGAATTTCATTGTATAGAACCATATTTATTCATTGATGAGAACCAATTTTTCAGGAATCACTGGCAGATTCAAATTCTTAAGATATGGGTATGAGGTATAAAATATAGTTAATATTGTGAAAAACAAAAAGAAAAGCTTTACCTTTTATAAACTTTGATGAGAATGTTATCCAATAGGAAATGTGTGAGTGGATATTTTAATCTGAATGTTGATATTTATGTTAATTCAGTTAATAACTTAGCATATTTTCTTTCAAAATTATTGTTTTAGAAAACAGAATCTTGGCATTTTCTTCCTCAAGAAATCGACTCTTCCCACACCTCGGATACAACCCACACCAGGTTTAAAGTGAGAGAGGAAGGGACAGAAATGACAGACTTTCCCTCTGTGGAGGAAGGTATATTGACCCAATCAGAAAATCAAGTAAAGGAACCCAACAGAGATCTCTTTTGTTCTTCATTGCTAGGTAATGCCTCTTTTTTAAAAAACTAGTATTAATACTTCTTTTAAAATCCTTACTTTTGGAGGATCAAGTCCTGCATTTAAATCCTTTCTTTTTTTTTTTAATGTTTTTTAATGTATTTTTTCCCATTACCATTTATTTCTTTTATACCATCCTATCCTCTTCCTGCAAACCACACTGTTGTCCACGTCCATGAAATCCTTTCTTGAGTTGAGGAGCTCTGTAGCACCCTACTCAAAGGTATTAGGCTATTTTTGGTTTTCCATACAGCCCAGCTGGTGTAGTTATGTTAAATGTGCAGTTGCCTCTCATTTTATCATGCACTATTGCTCACAGAAGGCAGAAGGTTGATAACTTCCAATCTAGTGGTTATGCCTCCTCAGTTCTGAATTTGTGGAAGTTTTTCTTGGTGTAAACTGTATATAAACCTTTGACTATTCAGTAAATACAAGCAAAAACCAAATATTCATGCTTACCTTATTAGATTCTTATACTTGATTACTGCATATGTTATTCTCAGTTTTCAGAGTCAAAAATTGAGATAAAGAGGTTAAATGACTTGTCTGAGGGTAGTTCTTACTGCTTTCCTTTTCTGTATATGGAACTGATTTATTAGCTCTTTACAAATGGTAATCTCTAAGTTCATCTCAAATCATCAAAGTAGGAGATAGAATAAATTGTACTGTTAACTACTTTGGACCATATGAATGCTTTGCTGGATATATATGAGTGCTAAACCAATATGGTAATTTAAATTTTTTTTCATGCCTAAATCATAGTTCAGACAAATAGTACTTTGTTCTTCCTTCCTTCAGAGTTTTTTTCAAAAGTTGAAAAAATACTACCACCAGATTTTTTGGAATTAGCTGTTGTCAGAGAAATGGGTTCAACCATGAAGTTATCTTGTCAGAAATTTTTAGAGGAGCAGGAATAGGAGTTAAGTTCTTTTCAAACATAAGCTAATGCTATTCTAATCAAAATATTAGTGCCAATGTTTTCTGTGATGTGGATCATCAAAGTCAGTTTTAATTTCAGTTTCACATTTTAAGAAAGATATTGACAACATTAGTGTTTTTTTGTTGGAGGAGATGACTATGATAGTAGATGAAAGAGAAGACTTTGCTATGATCAGGTATTCAAAGAGCTGTCGTGCCAAAGAGGAAGCAACTTATTTCATTCATTAATTTATTTAACAAATATCTAAGTGCCTATTATGTGTTTGATGCTAGGGATATATAAATGAAAGCTATCGCCTTTTGGGAAGACAATCCAGTAAGCAAAATAATAGACCATGTATGAGTACTTTACTGGTCTGTATCAAGAGTATGCAAACTACAGGCCACAGGCCAAGGCCTGATTTTTTTACAAGCTAAGGATGGTTTTTGCATTTTTAAAAGATTATAAAAACAAAATGTGTGTGACAAGAGACCACATATGACCAGCAAAGCCTAAAATATTTACTGCTTAGCCTTTTACAAAAATATTTGCTAATTCCTAGTCTAGAGGTTAAAATGAGAGTACATATCTTGTAAAAAGGCTGTTTTAGACTTGATATAAGAAAGAACTTACCCTGTCCAGTGCGGCTTAATTGGTTGGGAATTGTCCTGCAAAGCAAAAAGTTGCTGCTGTTCGATTCTGTTCACGTCACATGCCTGGGTTGCGGGTTCAGTCCCTGGTCGGGACACATGCAGCAGGTATCTGATCGATGATTCTCTGTCACACTGATGTTTCTCTCCCTCTCTATTTCCCTCCCTCCCACTCTCTCTAAAAGAAAAGAAAATCTTTTAAAAAATAAGGAACTTACTACTAGAGCCATTTATTAGTGCAAAATCTACTAACAAAAAAAGTGAGCTTATGTCACAGCAAAATGTCAAGTAAAATTTTCTAAAATAGCATTTCAGCATTTGGTAGGAGATTGTGTGTCTGGCTTCTAAAATTTTTTGTAACATAAAGTTTTATAACTGTCTTCTCATTTACTACAGATGAAGCAAAACATTTTTGATTTTTAGAGCAGATCCATAGATCTTGATGACCAAAGAAATTCCATCATTGCTATTTTGTTATGCGTGAACACTGCAGTCATTGTGGGACATTAGTCTCCCCACTGGCAAGTGTCATAATGAGAACTGGTTCCAGATCAGTTGGATATCTCAGAAAAGAGTTATCAAAACTATTAGCAGCATCCAAATATGTGGAAATGTGGGGTCTTTGTGAAAAAAAATTTAATGATTCTTAGAGGGGTGAAGGACTTATACGAAAATTATGAAAACAAGGTTACAAAGGTTTATGACTGAGTCCTAAAGTCAAGACCAAAGAGGAAATACCAATTAGTCCTCGGTGGCAAAAGTTTCTCTTTTTTAATTAATTGATTCAGTAAATAAATAATGCATTTATTTTGAATGCCTACTAAGTGTAGCAGGTATTTTTCTAGGCACTGAAGATACAGGTGTGAATAAAGCTCACATGGAGTTTTCGATCTAGGTGGTAAATGGACAAGACAGAAAATTAAAACAAGACTGGGATAGTGATGATAGGGAAGATATATAGTAGTTGTAGGCGTTCTGACATCAAGAAAGTGAACTGTAGCAACAGTATTATTACATGCATATTGAAAGAACCATTTAGTTTTAACAAAATATAACCCATCCATCCAAGTTAATATTAAATAGGATACTATTGGTTATATAGATTTGTTTCTATTAATATTTAATTTTTTTCATTGTAATTATGTGAATGCTATAAGGAATAAGGAGTTTATACCTATTTTGTACATATTCAAAGGCATTCTAATAAGAATTATTTAAGCTGGCATTCGGGAATTCACAAGAATTTTTTTTCTTTTTAAATTAATAGTTCTTAAACTTTTTGGTCACAGGACTACTTGACACACTAAAGTTACTAAGGACTATAAAGACCTTTTGTTTATGCAGGTTATTGATATTTTTCCATATTAGAAATTAAAACTCACCAATTTTTAAAAAAAGAACTCATTAAAAATAACCTTTATTGCATTTAACATAAATTACATATTTTTTAGAATAATAGCTATATTTCAAAACCAAAATATTTAGAAGAGTATCATTGTTTTACTTTAAAAAATCTGTAATGTCTGACTTCATAGAGAACAGGTAGTTTCTGATATCTGCTTCTACATTCCATATCATACATATGACTTCTGGAAAATTCCACTATACCTTTGTGAGAGAATGAGAGTGAATAAGGCAAATGATATCTTAATATTATTTTGATAATAATTTTGACCATAGGCACTTCCTGAGAATGTCTTAGGGATGCCAGGGAGCCCATGAGCTACACTTTGATGTAAGATGGAAAAAAACATTCATGATGGTTAAGAGCACTTTCTAAAAATTAGTGTTTAGGATCAGATCTCACTCTAACACTTACCGCTATTTGAATGTGGGCAGACTACTTTATATTCCTTACATTTTGTAATGTTTCTTACCTATAAGATGGATATAATAATACTTACTCATCCTTCAAGCTTGTCATGAGGATTAAGTGAAATGTAGGTTTAGTTGCTTAGACCTTGTCAGGTAGTTGCTGCTGCTGTTGTTATGTTACCATAGTAAAGCTTGTAGAAACTTCCAGATGGCAGCATGTTTAGGTTCTTTAAAGTATTATGTGAGTAAGCTACAAAGTTAATTTTTAGTATTTCTAACATTTTTACATTTGAAACTTGCAGTCATACAGGACAGCTTTGCTTCTCCTGATTTGCCTTTGCTGACATGTTTGACACAAGACCAAGAGTTTGGACTTGATTCCTTATTTCACCAAAGTGAACTAGATTTTGCGCCTCTGAGGTAGGATGATTTATGTTTTTATTTGCATGTAACCTTTCTACTCTTTCTTGTTCTTAGTTACTATTAATATTAATGACTTCAGCCTAAGGTGAGACTTTAGGGTAGGGGTTAAGTAGTCTCAGCTCACACTCTGAAGGTAACAAGACCCTGAGTTAAGTAAGACATGATGCATAGCAGTTTGGCATAGTAACATATGTATGTGTAAAGATGAGCCAGGTTACTGTAGTGTATTTAAAAATAATTTCTAATATATTCTAGCATTTCAGGCATATTTTAATTTAGAAGGCACACTGAGTTTTTCTTTTTGATAAATTTCCCCTCTTGCTTTCCATCACCCAACCTCATTGTGCAAAAAGCATTTGTTTCACAGTCACTAACTTGTTTGGCACTCTCATTTTGGTCAGCTGATACTGAATAAGCCTCGTCTGATAGGTGTGAATATGAAGTAACAAGATTTTTCTAACTGACATGTCTAAATTAAAAATTACTCTAAATTAGTACCCTTTGGAATAGTCATAATGGCAGACAAATCTGGAATTATCCAAGAATTATAAGTTTTCCTCTTTTAGAGCAAAAAAAGACACCTTAAATTAAAAACTGTCAATGTTTACTGAGTAAAAATCTCTGCCCTTCTACATGTATTACTTTAAAATTACTTTTATGAAAAGTGTTTTGTATACAACAGCCAACTGATGATTAGATTATTGTTGTATTTTGGGGCGGGGGAGGTACTCTTAAACCACTTAAGTGGTTTTCAAGAGCATAATAAACTAGTAAAAGAACTAGTTAAATGAATTTTAAATTATAGTAGGTAATAAATCAAACATTTTAAATAGTAAAATTTGAAGTTTCATTTAAAGAACCATTTTTTTGCCAATATGAAATTAGTCATTTTTTTGGCAATAATGGTTTAGAGTAGCCTGAGAATATATTAGGGTCACAGGATGGTAGGTAGTTCACCTGTTTATAAAATATTTGCTTTGTTCAGTCATTAACTACTTTAAAGGAATTTGAAATTAGAACTTTGTTTTTGAACATACTTCAAATAATCTTTATCAATAATATATCAATTTTGTATTTTTTATGTTGTTATTTTAAAAAATGTTTTAAATGTGTAACTTTTTTATTTTTAACTGTGTATTTTCAGGGCGATTCCTGGTAAGTCTGAAGACACAGAATGGTTTTCTCGACCGTCGGAAGTTAGTGAGGCTTTATTGCAGGCAGTCTCAGAAGTAGCTTCAGACATAGTTAATGGTCACTTTAGTGTATCTCAGCACACACTTATAGGGAGTACAGCTCTTGAGTCTCAGGGCTCTATTTTATATCCTGAACAAGGAACCAAAGAAGAGACTGTTTCATCTGGTGCAATTGATAAACTGAAAACCCCCAAAGACTTTGATAGTTATGATGCTCTTTGTTCATGTATGTCATGGAAGACACAAGAAGTTACACAGGAGCCAGAAACCACTTTAGCTAATAAAGATCAACGTTCTTTTTCAACTTCATCTGATACAAGTGAGGAGGAATATGTAACTCCTAAAGAAAGAGACAGTTTTGATGCTTCTTGTTTATATGTGCAGTATTGGAAACAGGAAGCTTTACAGCAGTCAGAAAAATATTTAACCAGTAAAGACCATGATTCTTGTTCAGATTCATCTGACACAATTGATAAAAATAAAATTTCTGAAGGAATTGGCAATTTCAGTGTCCCCCTTTCATGTATGCCATGGAGTGAACAGGGAGCTTCACACCATCCAGAAACATGTGCAGTCAGTAAGGATCATGTTTCTTTTCCACCTGAAGTTGCTTCTCATAAAATGTCATATTCTTTCTTGCATTGCTTGTTGGAAGGGAGAGGAAAAAGTGCTCCCTTTATGTCTGATAGTCATTATTTGGAGAGGGTTTATTTAAGGGCTTCCACTGAGAATGAGGTAAAACAAAAGATGGTTTCTTTGGAGGGTTATGAAAGAAATGAAGAAGGTCTGGGGAAAGAATTATCTCAAAGTTTTGAACTAAAGGAAAATAGCAATACTGTAGTATTTTTGAAGTTGTGTCCCAGTTCTTCAGAAGTACAGTATATTGAGAATGTTGTAGTTCCTGATAATTCTGTAAAAGTTTCAGAAACACATATACTCTCCAGGGAACATGATATCTCTAAGGTAGAGACTTCTGGTAGTCCTCTTCAGACTATTACATCCACCTTGGATGAGACATCAGAACAACTGTATTTTCAAGAGGAAAGAAACCAAAAGGCAAGTGCTGCTTTTGGTGGGAAAAATGTTAATGCTACTGAAAATGTAGCCTTTGAGGCAGTTATTGCCTCTATTGAACCTTCCAAGAAAGAGAATACAGGAAATGAAATCCAAACTGATATCACTAAATCTTTAACAAATTATAGGCAAGATAGTGAACCAAAAAATTCAGATCTTTTCTTATTAAATTATAATGATGTCAACTCTTTCTTTGATAAATTTAGTCATCCACGCTGTCAGTCTACTCCTGGGGTGTTTGAACCAGCAGCTTCAAAACCATTGTTGCATAAAAAGGATGATGGTGTTAGCTCCCTGTACTGGCATACTAATGCAGAATTACTCCCCAGCGCTCCTCAGGAAATGTTCATTAAGCCACTTTCTTCTGCTTCTTTAAGTGAAAAATCTCACAGCCAGGTTGTTGGTCTTTGCAAAACACAAAGCCCTCTATTTCAGTGTGGTATAGACAATGAACCATTTCTTCCCATTGCAGAGAAGGCAGGATCTTCAAACATTATTTACCCACTGAAAGTATCAACTTCAGATTCTTTGTTTTTGCAAGATTTAAAGCAGCAAACCTTTGAAGAAGTTGCAGATTCTTCAGACTATATTTTGGGTAAGAATGTAAATTCTAGTCATGTCATTGAACGTCCATCTGCAGCTATAGGAAGCAGCTTTTCAGCAAACTTGGTGGCATATGATGCAAAGTCACAAGGTGCTTTACCAATGACCAGTGATGCATCATTAATTGCAGTTGGCCAAGAGACATTGCTGAAAGCTGATACAGGCCTAGGTGAAATTCCTCGGCCTATGGGAGCCAAGTCCAGTTTTACAGTACATACAATTATACAAAATGACTCCTATTTTGTAGAAGGCCTGCAAGGGAAGTCTGAGTCTGAGTCTGACATCGGTACTCTGGGTGATGATACTGAATGCTATAGCCTAGATGAAAATGCTGTTGTATGCAGTAAAAGATCTACTGAGCTACAAAGAGAGGTGAGATACAATAAGATGACAGTTGGGGAAAACATGATCTTTTCCAGTATTGTTTCAGGAAATTGCATTGTTATTTGGTTGTATTTTTTTTGCTATTTCTCAGATGTGTGACCAAGGTGACTTGAGTGGTGAGTGCATTGAGGTAGCACATTTAGAAAATATGCTTGATGATCTAGAGATTTGTGACAGCTCCTTGCCCTGGCAATCTGTTTTACAACCACCCAAGGAAGAGAGCAGTTTTGAAAAGCCTGTAAGTTTTTCCATTTGACATTTCTTATGGGGCAGTGAAAGAAATATTTTAGTTGAAAATGGGGATAAAAGTGCCTGTTTATGTTCTCTAATACCAACTTGTGATTTGTAACCTGGTCTTCATCTGATATGCAGGGGTATGGTTTATTAATTTGTTAGAGATTGGCATAAAAGAAATGTTTGTATTTTGTGGACTGTAAGACTTAGTGAGTTCAGTGGTGTCTTGGACAAAGCCATCCTTTGGCACACCTAGGTCTTTCATCTTGAGGCATCCTAACTCTTCCAGGTTGTGCCAGCAAAAACCTTTGGGACAGGCCCTGGCCAGGTAGCTCAGTTGGTTAGAGCATCAGCCCAGTACACCAAGGTTGTGGATTTGGTCCCTGGCCAGGGCATGTACAAGAATCAACTAATGAATGCATAAGTAAGTGGAACAACAAATTGATGTTTCCCTTTCTCTCTCTCAAATAAGTAAAAAAAAAAATGGAAAAAGAAAGATCCTTTGGGGTAGAGTTAAAACCTGTAGGCTTGTTCATGGAGACATTGATATCTGCTTTTTCTACCCCCTCTGCCTTTCAGTGTACAATTCTTGGAATAGGCCCTGGAAATATTCTAGTATTTCTTTTTAGACACTCCTGAAAGATTTGATTTCAGAGGTATCTTGAAAATTTTAAGAACCTGTATTTCCCCAGGAAGGATACTGAGGTGGTTACTGTCCAAACTAGTTAGTGTCCTCAAAGGGAGCTAACTAGTTCCCTGATTCCCACATAAGCAACTTATTTATGTATAATTACATTCCCTTACTCTCTATATCATCATTATTGTCTGTGTGTGTACCAAAAGATTATAACTTTGAGGGGGTAATAAAAATTCTGCGTCAATGTTTCTTTTATACAAGGATTCATTTTCCTGGGTCTTTGGATTCCTTGGCTTTAACGTCCCTCTGGTCCCATTGCCCATCCTCTTTTGTCTGATACTGTCAGCTCTAACCTGGGTCCCACTTCCTTATAATATATATTAATATCCTATGCATTTTTATATATTATGCATAGATATTTGTGCTATATATAATGTTACTTGCCTTTTCCTGTTTTCCCAGGTATAAGATCAGCATGGTATTGGAAAACTACTAGTTGCAGTTGCAACTATTACACCTTTAGGTTCAGGCAGTTGATAAGAGAAGATGAAAAAGATATTATGATGAACTTTCCTCTTATTTTTAATTTGTTGTATTTAAAAAAGATTTTAATATGGAGAACTGTTAGGGTAGTGTTATTTTCTTCATTGTACAGTAGGCATTGTTTAATTCTAATTTTCAATCTAATAACATTGGGGATGAAAGTAGAACTTTGTGCTGAAATACTATGCTAAATTTTACTTATAAACATCAATTTGTTTAGTCTTTTTGTCAATCTTACTAGGTAGGATTATTGGGAATTATTGTCATCCCCCATTTTTGTAGTTGACAGAGTTAAGGAACTTGCTTATGATCATTTAGTAGGTAGGGAAACTAATTTAAAACTAACTTTATCTGTGTACTTAACCACTATGCCATAAACTCTCTCCCTGTTTGGCTATTTTTCAGTGAAACCGAGGCTAAGATTTTGCATTATTTTGGCAAGAGAGAAGGTTTTGAAGTTAGTTTCAATAAGAATGAGAAACAAAATCTGATTAGTTTTAAACATAGTTTTTATATTTTTGATGCTACTTTTATAACTTGTATCAACTTTTTCATATAGAGAAAAAATATTTTTTAAAAATGAAAATATATTCAGTTAATAGCAATATGGTGAAGTTAACTCTGACCACATTCCAAATTTTATTTGCCCTAATATGGTGAAAAGTCATATATGTTTATGTACTAACATCACCAATAATGTCTACTAATTCCTTTTTTATTGTATTTTTATTTTTTTTATTTTTAGAGAGAGGGAGATGAGCGGGAGAAGAGAGATAGAGAAACATCAATATATGAGAGATACATTGATCATTTACCTCTTGCACTCCCTCAGCTGGGGTCCTGGTCTGCATCCCAGGCACAGGTCCTGACTGGGAATTGAGCTTGTGTCTTTTTGGTTCCCAGACTGATGCTCAATCCACTGATCCTCACCAGCCAGGGAACTAATTCCTTTTTTAGCAAGGACTTGTTGGGATCTGGTAGAAGTTTAGGAACTTCTTTATCAGCATTTAACCTTTACTTCACTATCAGTTTATATTTCCCACTACTTTTGTTTCAAGAAATTTGAAGATTTTTGTTTTTTTTTGGTAACTGATCACAGGTACAGTTTTTTGATGCTCTTATTGTTTTTCTAAACATTTGTGGATTTCTTGAAAATTTTCCTGTTTTTTCTTCCCTCCTCCCCTCTTTTCTTTCCACAACATACTTCTTTTAAAAAATCCTTGTACCATAGTTCAAATTCTGCAGTGATCATACTATTATAAGGAGAAAACTCTGAGTAATAAAATATTTCTAGGCCTCCTATCTGTCATATTCTATACAGACAGACTTCCAGACCCTTAGAATAATTTATAGTCTTCTTGGAAGTGACCAAACAAGGTATGACCTGGATATGAATTCAGGATGATTGCGAATATAATCTTGAGGACTGGTATAACTGGTTAGTATTTATTTTCATAAAAGTGAGATTTGTACTTGTATTTTAGCAGATAAAAAAATTAATCTTATTTTTTATCTCTTTTCATAGGTAGGCCATTCTGATATGGATATTGATCGGTCTTTTGCATCTGTATTGCCTTCATTTGTTCCTCAGGAGCCAATCGGAGAGTTGGAGTATCAGTCTTCAGATCTCAGAATGTTGAGGGTGTCTCCTGAGATTGTACCAAAGACTCTCAAACATTTATCAGGTATGTAGAAAAGGGGATACTGGGTCCTTATGATTAGCTTGTTAAATATATCTTGCTATGGCTAATTTTTTATTTTTGAACTCCTGCAGTAATGTTAACTTTTGATGAAGTATGTTTATAAATGCCCAGGTCTCTTTTATTAGATGAACCATTTGACTTTTCATCACTTTCTTCATGACGGTATTTAGAACTGAATTACATGGAGAATTCTAAATTAGAGTCAGTTTGTTTCTATATTCCTTTCTGTGATTTAAAGGGAAAAAATTGAGCACAAGAGGACAAGAGTAGATACAAGAAAGTTTGTAGAGAGGAAACTGAGAGCTCAGTTTTGAGACAGAAAGCAAGATTATCTGCTATGGGAGGTGGGGATTGGTGGAGGTGCTAGGTATTTAGAGGAGAGTGGCTTGGTGAAGGCTCAGAATTTATGTTTCAGTGAAAAGGACAGGAGCTAAAAATGAGCAAAAGAATTGGCAGGTAGTTCTGAGAAGTCAGCAGAGACTAGAAATGATTTTATAATGTCAGCCTATCTATCTAATTTTTCTGTGTTAAAACTCAAGAATGGAGAAGTTGAATTATAGAATCGATCCTTGGTTGAGGAATTGGGTGTGGTGGAAAGATAGCAATGGAAAGGAATCAGTGAGAGAAGAGTTGATCAACTATTGGTTTCAGCCAGCACAGAGAAAGAAAAGAAGTCAGGAGAGTTGTTAGTCTGGGAGAAAATAAAGGAACAGAGGTTTGTTTATGAAGTTGAATACATGAGGTGGGTATGAGTTACTGAGAGAGCTAGAGGAACATGCAGTTTTGATCAGAGTGAGTTAGTACATTTAATTGTGAATCAGTTTGAAGATTCATTGCTTGGCCCTGAGAGAATTAGATAGTAGGAGTTGAATAAAGATCATTGGGATAAAGTAAAATGAGAGCTTTGAGGCTAGCTTATTGAATTCATTATGTTTAAATATTTTATGATTTTATGGGATTTAGGGTTTAAAGAAACCCTGTGTATTAGACCTTGAAGTCTTTAAAGTGAATGGAAGCATTTGGGAGTTGCAAGGCATGATAGATGGAGGATGGTATTGAAGCTATATGTGGCCTAAGCCAAAGAAAGGTTTTATTTTTATGTTTTTGTTTATTTGAGGAAGATAAAAAATATTGGTAAGGAAATCATTGTGAGAGGTAGTTAAATGCCATTGTTCATCTCTCCTAGTTTCTAGTCATGGTATATGGAAGAGGGCTGCACAAACAATAAGATTATCAAGAGGAAATTCAAGTGGTTTTTTAAGACAGGAAGTTGGAGAGTATTCTCTGAAAAAATTGAGAAAGGTTGTTTATTAAGTAGCAGAATGGTTTCCAAGAGCACAGAGGAAAAAAGGGAGGGAAGGAATAAACAGTGGGGAGGAATCTAGGTAAGAAGAAAACAGCAGGAATAGACTATGGGGACAAGAGAGTGGCAATATTTGCATTTTTTCTGGACCAGGGATTACAGTGATTAAGAGAGTTGAAACGAGTGGCCTCAAATATACTAATTTTTTCAGAGGTAATTTTGATGTCAGAACTGAGGGTCCCAGCTCATCTCTAAGGTCTAGTCTTAGAGATGATTCTTTAGCCATGCAGAAGTTTTTAATTTGGTGAGGTCCCCATTTGTTTGTTCTTTCCTTTATGTCCCTTGCTTTAGGGGACATTATCAGTGAAAATGTCGCCACATGGAATGTCTGAGATTTTCCTGCTGATGTTTTCCTTTAGGATTTGTAGGGTGTCACAACTTACATTTAAGTCTTTTATCCCCCTTGAATTTATTTTTGTGTGTGGTATAAGTTGGTGATTGAGTTTCTTTCTTTCTTTCTTTCTTTTTTTTTTTTTTGCATGTAGCTGTCCAGCTCTCTCAACACCATTTTCCGAAAAGGGTATTTTTACTCCATTTTATGCTTCTTCCCCCTTTGTCAAATATTAATTAACCGTAGAGACTTGGGTTCATTTCTGGGCTCTCTGTTCTGTTCCCTTGGTCTATGTGTGTGTTCTTATGCCAGTACCAGGCTGTTTTGATTATGGTGGCCTTGTAATACAGTTTGATATCAGATATTGTGATCCTTCCTACTTAGTTCTTCTTTTTCAAAATTGCTGCAGCTATTTGGGGTTGTTTATGGTTCCATATACATTTTTGAAATGTTCTATATTTGTGAAATATGTCATTGGTACTTTAATAGGGATTGAGTTGAATCTGTAAATTGCTTTGGGTAGGAGGGACATTTTGAGGATGTTAATTCTTCCAATCCATGAACATGGTACATGCTTCCATTTGTTTGTGTGTCTTCCATAATTTCTTTCTTCATTGTTGTATAGTTTTCTGTGTACAGGTCTTTTACCTCCTTGGTTAGGTTTATGCCTAGGTACTTTATTTTTTGTTGCTATATTAAATGGGATTTTTTCCCCTAATTCCTGTTTCTGATATTTCATTGTTGGCATACAAAAATGCTTTTGATTTCTGAATATTGACTTTGTATCCTGCTGTTTTGCCAAATTCACTTATTAGGTCAAGTAGTTTTTGGTGGAGTCTATAGGATTTTCTATGTACACTGTCATGTCATCTGCAAACAATGACAGTTTTGCTCATTCCTTTCCAATTTGGATGCCTTTTATTTCTTTTTCTTGTCTTATTGCTGTAGCTAGGACTTCCAATACTATGTTGAATAGGAGTGGTGAAAGCGGGCATCCTTGTTTTGTTCCTGATCTTACTGGGAAAGCTCTAAGTTTTTGCCCATTGAGTATAATGTTGGCTGTAGGTCTTTCATATATGGCCTTTATTATGTTGAGGAATGCTCCCTCTATTCCCAGTTTGCTGAATGTTTTTTATCATAAATGGGTGCTGTACCTTATCAAATGCTTTTTCCACATCTATTGATATGATCGTGATTTTTGTCTTTGCTTTTGTGCTGTATTACATTTATTGATTTATGAATATTGTACCATCCTTGTATCCCTGAGTTGAATCCCACTTGGTCATGGTGTATGATCTTTTTAACATATTGTTGGATGGGGTTTGCCAATATTTTGTTGAGGATTTTAGCATCTATGTTTATCAGAAATAATGGCCTAAAGTTTTCTTTGTTATGTCTTTATTTGGTTTTGGGACTAGGATGATGCTCACTTCATAAAAAGAGTTTGGGAGTCTTCCATCTTCTTGAATTTTTTTGGAATAATCTTTGAAGGACAGGGGTTAGGTCTTCCTTAAATGCTTTGTAAAATTCTTCTGTGAAACCATCTGGTCCAGGGCTTTTGTGTGTCGAGAGATTTTTGATTACTGCTTCAGTTTCGTCAGCTGTTATTGGTGTGTTCAGGCTTTCTGCTTCATTGAGTTTTGGAAGATTATGTTTTTCTAGAATTTGTCCATTTCACCTAGGTTTTCAAATTTCTTGGCATATAGTTCTTCATAGTAATTTCTTAAAATGCTTTGTATTTCTGTGTATCAGTTGTAATCTCTCCTCTTTCATTTCTGATTGCCAACACCATTTCTTGATGAGACTGCCCTTTCCCCACTGTATATGCTTGATTTTCTTGTTGTAAATTAATTAACCATATATGCATGGGTTTATTTCTGAGCTCTCTATTCTATTCCATTAATCTATGAGTCTGTTTTTGTGTCAGTACCACAATAGTTAGTTTACTGTAGTTTTATAGTATAGTTTGAAATTAGGGAGCATGATGCCTCCAGCTTTGTTCTTCTTTTTCAATAGTGCTTTGGCTATTTGGAGTCTTTTGGGGTTTCATACAAATTGAAACTACAAATAGGAACTATTTGATACAAATTTGAACTATTTGAGCTATTTCATACAAATAGGAACTTCTTGTTTTATTTCTGTGAAAAATGTTATTGGAATTTTGATAGGGATTGCATTGAATCTTTAGATTGCTTTTAGTAGTAAGAACATTTTAACAATATTAATTCTTCCAGTCTGTTAGCACAGAATATCTTTCCATTTATATTTATCTTCCAACTTCTTTTATCAGTGTCTAGTAGTTTTCAGTGTACAGATCTTTCTCCTTTTGATTAAATTTATTCCTAGATATTTGACTCTTTTTAATTGTAAATGAATTTCATTTTTTATGATTTTATTTATTTGGTTTGAGAGAGGGGGGAAGGGAAGGAGAATGAAAGGGAGAGAAACATTGATGTGAGAGAGAAACATCAATGGGTTGCCTCTCTAATGCACCTCAACTGGATATTGAACCAGAGACCTTTGCTTTGTGGGATGATGTCCAACCAATTGAGTTATACCAATCAGAGCTGAATTTCTTTCTTTCTTTCTTCTTTTTTTTTTTTTGATAGCACATAATTAGTGTATAGAAATACACCTGATTTTTGTGTATTGATTTTGTACCCGGCAACTTTATTGAATTCATTTACTTTAAGTTTTTTGGCAGAGACTTTAGGACTTTCTGTATCATATCATCTGAAAATAAAACACATTTACTCTTTCTTTCCGATTTGGATGCTTTTTATTTTATTTTTTTCTTGCCTGATTGTTCCAGTTAGGACTTCCAGTATTATGTTCAATAAAAGTGCTAAGAATGTGTGAGAGTGGGCATCCTTGTTTTGTTCCTGTTATTAGAAGAAAAGCTTTTACCTTTCCACCATTGGATATGATGTTAGCTGTTGGCTTGTCATATATGGCATACCTGATGTTGAGATAATTCCCTTTCTGCCCCTTGTTGAACATTTTTGTTATAAAGGGTATAGAATTTTGTCATATGCTTTTCTTATATCTACTGAGATGATTATACGATTTTTAAACTTCATTTTGTTAATGTTTTCTATTACATTTATTGATTTGCAGATGTTGAACTATCCTTGTGTCCCTGGGATAAATCCCACTTGGTCATGGTAGAGGATCCTTTACTGTACTGTTGATTTTGGTTTGCTGATATTTTTGTTGAGGACTTTTGCATCTTTGTTCATCAGGGATATTGGCGTTTAATTTTCTTTTCTTGTGGCATCTTTTTCTGGT